GGCTGGGGGGCGGAAGGAATGCCCGGCGCTGGTTTTCCATAGGAATCCGCTGCCATCGTGGCTCCGCGGGCGTAGACCGGCGCTGGGCACCAGTGTGCGACTCCCGGTAGCCACACCTCCGTCCTGGCCGCGCCGTCCTACTACTTTTCCACACAGTGCCCGTAGCCGTTGAAAAACCTGGAGGAGCGGATTCCTCGGGAGATGGACGCAACTCACAAGAAGCAAGGACGAAAGCCGAGTGGGCGCGCCTCACCCACTGCGCACGCGCAATCAGTCAGCTTCGAGACGCTGGAGTCGCCGCCCCGCCTGGAGTGCGCCTGCGCGGCCGCCGGGGCTCTCCACCTCGGCTTCCCCTCCCCCTGACCCCCACGGGGGCTCCGGGCCCGGCGGGACCATGTTCACTAGCACCGGCTCCAGTGGGCTTTGTAAGTACCGACCGCCGCCTTGCCGACTGCCCCACTACCTGCCACCCTGGGCACCTCCTTGAGGAGGCTGGGGCATCGAGGACCCTGCCCTCGGGTTTGCAGGAGGTTGAGGGGCCGATCATCCATCTCTGCGACCGAACCTTGGTGGTTCCTGCCTTTGGGGCGCAGCGGGACCGCCCCCATTTCAGGTTGGGGGGCAAGTGGACACTAAGTTCCGCCCCAGCCCCAGTCTCCCGTGTGTCCCAGCAGGGATGCCCAGCGTCCTGGGGCTGCGGAGGTGGGCTGGGCAGTTAGGGTTGGGCTGAGTGCCCTGGTGTCTCGTGGCCTGGCCCTTGCCCCGTGCGCCCGGCCCTGCGAAGAGGCTGCCCGGTGGAGGCGGAGCCGAAGGCTGTCCCCTCCTGTCACCTTGCCCCATTCCGTGGGGCCGGATGGCCTTACCCCTCATGCACCTTTCACCCCCTTCTTAGGAGCTCAGTTTTACTTAGAGCTGTTTCTTCCACCGCGTCCTCTGAAGGGGTGTTAGAAAAAACTGATCAGAGTGCTCTGAAGTGGAGGGAAGTTCGAAGTCCTTTGGCTAGAGAGCGCACACTTTGTTGCCAGATGTTGCCATTATTTTACTGGAGTGTCTGCCGGGCTCTGTAGGGAGAGGGCCGGGAACTGTACATGGCCCTTAACAGCCGTTTGTTTTTCCTCACTGAGGGTGAGTGTGTTTAACTGGCTTTCAGTAAGGCGGGTTGTATGTTAACCAAAAAGCACCGAGATGAGGCCCCGATCCAGCGACAGAGAACTGTAATATTTGAACAACTGTCATTTTGCAGTTCCTCGTCACCATTGATGCTTCGATGCTTCATGTCTCTGTACCCAATGCTGCTAGGGTGCGGAAACATCTGACATTCGCATTAAAGATCTATTGTGAATGTCAAAAATCTTATCTTGAGAGTGGGACACTATCAAACCATAGGCATAATTATCAGTCTTCCTCACTTCTCAGCCAATTAGGTTCTTCTGTTTGTTTGTTTAATGCGCACAGGAGAAAGGAGGCTTGGTCACACACAGCCCCCTTTCCTCCAGGTAGTTCTCTGTGCTGTCCAGATTCTGGGCATGCTCACTGGTTCTTCAAGAAGCTGGGCCCCAGTGGCTGGTGGGGACTGGAACCCTGGTAGGCCAGGTAGGATCTAGCTTCCCTGCAACACTTGACAGGTGCACTGTGGGACCAGCCCTCAACTTCTCTGTTTTTAAGTGGGCTTAATATTTGTGATTTCCTTTGTTTAATTATTTGATTTATGGAATCTTTCATGCATTGGCCCTGGAGTATATTACAATGAAGTTAATATTTATCACAAGCGAATTAATCTTCCCTAAAATACCCTTTAAGTGAAGTACTTAGGGTGTTGATGGAGGTGACAGTTCAAAAAGGGGGGTGTGGTTTTCCTGGGATCACACAGTGAGCCATCCACTAGTAGATATGAAATGAATGGTAGAATTTTTCAGTTTTAGTTCTTTCAGCATTTTGAGCTGTCCTTGCTGAACCAAACACTATCATGCTTTGTTTAAGGATGGGGGTGGGTCCTGAGAAACGTGTCACTAGATGATTTCCTTGTGTAAACGTCATACAATGTACTTACACCGTGTACTTACATCATACAATGTACCAGCACCGCCTCCAGCCGGCTTTGTGAGTGCTGACCGCCGCCTTGCCACCTGCCCCCTTGGTACCAAGGAGGCTGGGGCATCCGGGACCCTGCCCTCAGGTTTGCAGGAGGTTGAGGGGCCGATCATCCATCCCTGCAACCAAACCTTGATAGCTTTGTATAACTTAGCCCACTCTTGGGTCATGAAGGGACACCAAATGGCGCATGGGAAAATGGAATTACAGTATGCTTATTTTAGTGTGAAAACCCCTTTGAAATCCATGGATAGTTTTTCATAATATGCATTTTCCACGGACTTATTGAATACCTCTCCTGAATGGCATGACCTATCATGATCTCATGGGACCGCCAGCCACTGTCGGATATACGGCCTGTCGTCGGCCAAAATGTTTTATGTGTGACTGTACAGATACGAAAGGTGGGGAGATCTGGTAGTGGCTGCTGGCCGCACTGGCCCTCCGGTATTGGCATAGTATATTCAGTAGGCTGACCATAGGATGAGTCGGGAAAGGAAATACCTTATCACCTACGGGACAGGTTTTCCCAGACTGCTGTCCTGGGCCAGGCCTGGGCCATGGTTCCTCCCTGGGGCCTGTTCCTGAGATAAGTGCTTCTGCAGTGTGAGAGGTGATGGGAGGGCCTCTCCTCCGAAGGCCCTGTCCTCTGTGCTCCTTTGACATCTTGGACATCTGTTACTGACTGCACACTGTGCCAGGTGCCACCAACACAAGGGTGACCAAGTCCCGGTCCCAGGAGTGACAGAGCTTGCGGTGGACCTCAGCCACATCTCCGCCAGGCCTGGCTGTTGGGCACGTCTGCGTGTTAGCGGTTACCCCACCTTAAAAGTCTTCTCTGGTGATGCTGCCTACAAGAGGGAAGTGATTTCCTTTAGGTACATCATGTGGCCCTTGGCTAAGTCAGACTTTTTTAAACTTCCTTTTCTTTCTTTCTTTCATGAGAGAGAGGTGGGGAAAGAGACAGGCATCCTCAACAGGGTCTTGCTGCACGGTGCCTCTCGCCCAGCCTCCCAGCCAACCAGGATGACTCCCGTGTGGGGCTGACCTGGGATGCAAGCTTGGGCCTCCCGTATGACTCCAGCTTCTCCCAGCAGCAGCCACTGTGTGTACCACAGCAGCTGGGCCCTGAGGCAAAGTTGTGATCTGGGTGGGTATGTGAGGATACTGCCCTTGCCCCCGTGGGTGCATAATAGTGCCTGCTTCCAGGGAGGAGCACTGCCGTTTCCTCCCCCCGCCTGTTTCCCGCTTTTCTGGGCTGCAGGTGTGCTTTTCTTTCTCATTCATTTCTCATTCATTTGACAAGCGTCTGTTGAGTACCCGTATGAACCACACGCTATTCATGTAAGAGGATAAAGCATTAAACAGGATGAAGGAGACAACACCAAAGAGGTGAGCAAATAATTAACGCCGTTTCATGCAGTGGTCGGTGCTGGGAAGGCTATTCAGGGTTAATGGCATGGTTGACGCTGTGGCGGAGTGCTGCTTTAGCGTGTGTGGTCCGGGAACACATCGAGGAAGGTGACCGTTGGCTGAGACCCCGACAGGATGAAGGAGTCAGCCACGTTGCAGTTTATTGATAAATCACTTTTCTTTCTTTTCTTTTCATTTGGCAGAGCCCTGTGTGTGCTCACCAGAGACAGACAGAGGAGAGTGAGAAAGCAGGTCCTGTGGGGAATGATCACACTACAATTCCCGTCTCCTCCATACCGCCCCCTTTTTTGTAGATTTTCAATGCATACTACATACACCCAGTGTATTTTTCAAGCTACTGGATCTGGTGCTTGAACCACACGGTCACCCTGTGGGATCCAGCTCCCTTAACTACCAGGGCATAGACTGGCCCCAGTAAATCTGCCTTTTTTTTTTTTTTTTTTTTTTTTGAGAGGTTTTTCACTATAGGGCGCGTGCGCTCGCCAGACAGACAGAGACAGAGAGATAGAAAGCGAGAAATCACCCCCCAGGGGGGATGGTCACACCGCAATCCCTTCTCCTCCATTCTCCTCTCAGGATCTTGGGCACGCACACACACATGCCTGGCGTGGGTTTTAAGCCACCGGATCCGGGACGCGAACCGCGGTCAACTACGTGGGAGTCCAGCAACATAGCCATTACGCTAACTGCTGGTTCCCAAATCTGCCTTTGGAAGAGCAAGAACACCAGGCACATAAGTCCCTGAAACAGTCTAAGGTACTAAAGGACGCCGAGGCAGCCAGAGCAATAAATTGGGATGGGCATTTGTGACTGTTTTGTGTTGAAACTGTATTAGCGTCTGCACAGTCTCGTGATTAAGTGTGAGTGGATAAGAGCACATGGGAAGCGTGTTCATGACTTATGTTATATCCCTTGTTCATAGACCAATGCAGTTGCTCAACTGTAGGTTGAGTAATGGATGTATCCCTTATTACATTGCATTTATTAGTAAACGCCCCCTCATGTGTTCACTTCACCGTATATGCACTGTGTAATGATGCACTCAGCCGCCATTAATTGTATGTCTAATGTATGCCACGTATAGTTTCCACCTCAAAGAAACTCTTAGAAAAATAGTTACCTTCTATGCTTGGTGCTGTAGGTTTGTTACAAGGGGTAGATTGGTGTTTGTCAGGCGGGCAGTGTGGAGAGGGCCTCTGAGGGACAGCCTGGGCAGGGCCTGGCGGAGCAGCAAGAAGTAGCACACACCAAAGGAGAGAGAATTTGAGGGAAGGCATTCTAGTAGCACTAAATGCTGCAGTGATTTTCCAAAAAGGAAGAAGTGCCTTTTTGGGAAAGAAGGAGGCCTTCTAGGACCTTTCCCCAGCTTGTCCAGTAGCCAGTGAAAGGAGTCAGATCATACCTAAGGAGTAAACGGGATGGGAAACAGAAAGTGAGCTTGGAAAGTGCTGTCTCACATCTCAGTTACGAGGGGCCAGGGAGTGAGTGATAGAGGTGGCTGCAGGTGTAGGAGAGTTTCTTTTTTCACTTTAAGTGAGATTGTTGCTATAGGGCTTGTGCGATCACCAGAGAGACAGAGACAGAAAGCGAGAAATCACCCTTGGGGGTATGGCCATGCCACAATCCCTTCGCCTTCATTCTTCTCTTGGGGTTTTGTGCATGCACTCACGTGCACCTGGCATGAGTTTCAAGCCTCTGGGTCCGAGACTCAAACCCCAGTCAGCAGAGTCCAGTGCCTTAGCCACTACACCACCTGTTGGCTCTTAGGGGAGTTTCTTTTAAGTTGAGAGAAACCTTAGCTCATTTACACAGTGCTGGCAGAAACCCACGAGGGCCAGTGAGGCTGCAGATATAGACTAGAACGAGTGAGAGGACCGTAGGCCCAAAGCGCTGTGCTTCT